TAAAAATGGCGCTACTGCCTTTTTACACGTAAATTTTCGTAAACCATGTAAAGCAGAACAAATTTTAATTGGTCGTGGTAAAACTACTAAATTGGAAGGAAGAAAAGGGTTCGTTGAAGGAACTTTAGAAACTTTAGATGGTATTAAATTAGTTGATGCTAATGCTTTATTTATCAGCGTAAAGAAACTAGAATAAATTAATTATTAAGTGATAATAATATAGTTAAATTAATAAATTGTATTTTTAGTAGTAAAATAAAATCAGAACCTTCCTTAAAAAAATTTATCCAAAAGCTTTTTATGGTCAAAATTTTATTTATTACTAATTTCCTAAAACGGTTACGAGTTGTGCTAATTGCCCCAAAAATGAAAGTTTGCCATTTAAGGGTAATAAATTAAATTATCATCAATCGTGTCACATTTTTCATTTAATTAAAAAAATTTTTTTACCATGGGAAATCATGCAAGTAAAGCCTCCGAAGCCTTGTTTCATGAAATCTTTTCACAGTTTTCAAAAGAGGAACAGGCTGTCCTTTTGCAAAAATTTGGAGAATTCGCTTCTGATAATATAGACTTGCGCGATCAAAAATTTGGAAAAGCTCGTGATGCAGGAATAACAGCCCTAAGCATTAAAGTAAACTGAAAACAAAAAATCACTTTACTAGAACGTTATTTTATTTTAATTCGAGTAATACTTAAATTCTTTTTGTAATAGAAACATCTTCCTTCCGTATTAGGAGCACATTTAAAAGATGGTTTCGTACAATATTTTCAAATACAATCGGCATCGATTGGGAAACAACTTTCATCAGAAAAATTAGAAAAGTTATTACAACCATCACCTTCTTTACATATAACTCAACTTGGATTCATTTCTTCAATTCACAATTTAGCTAAAACAACACCTTCGGATCAATCCCAAGCGGCTTTTATCGTTGGTCATTTATATCAAGGATCTTTAAAAACCTTTATTCAAGAAGTTATAAGAACTTCGCTAGTTTATTGGTTCGAAGGAGCTTATATTTCTCAAACCGGACAAGTAAGAGAATCAAAAAATAAAGGAAAACAAAATTCATTTTTGGATTTAGATGGCACAAATTTAATTGATTATTTAATTTTATTTCCAAAATTAAAACATGGTGAACCTGAAGAGGATTCACTTTTTAATTTAATTAAAGAAGCGGAGATTGAAGGACATTTTAATCGAGGTTCTTTTATGGATTGGTATATTAAAAATACACCTTTTCAACATTTATTTAATATCCTGCTTTCCTATGTATTCCTACCTAAGAATTTACCTCAAGATTCGATTAAAATGTTAAGATTTGCCAATTCGATTTCTCCAGAAATTTATTCTCCATACAAAGCTTTACCGAATTTCTCTCAACTTTTAACACCTTCGGATTATTATGTGTTAAATAGTCATTTACCACCAGATTGTCGTGTCACCACACACACGCTATTATTCTCCTCAGTCAGAGATGGAGACAGTTGGAGTACATTTATTAATTCCATATTATATCAAGGTTCAACCTATATTATAATAAAGGATAAAGAAGGTTATATATTTGGTGGTTTTACTTATGAAGATTGGGAACTTAAACCAAAATGGTATGGAAATGGAAAGAATTTCTTATTCTCCATTAAACCTAAATTGAGATTGTATCCTTCTACCGGGTATAATGACCATTACCAATATTTAAATTATGGAACGAAAACTTTGCCTAACGGTAAGTTCAATTCGAAAGATTTCGCTTTTTTTTTTTCATTTCCTTTCGGTAAATTAATAATACTTTAATAATAGGGTTGGGAATGGGAGGACAATTCGATTTTTGTGGATTATGGATCAATTCAGATATTATTAACGGACATTCAAAAGCAACACCATTATCATCTACCTATAGTAGTGCACAACTGTCAAAGAAACAAGAGTTTAAAGTAGATGAAATTGAAGGTATGCTAATGGATAAAAAATAAATTTAAAGATTTTTTTATATTATAAATACGATTCAATGATTAGCTAATGAGATCTTTACAATAATTATTATCCTTTCTTTCAGTCTGGCTTGTTAAACCGACAGAAAAAGATCCTGATGAAATACCTAAAGGACCAAAAGGCTCTGCATTGGATAAAAATCCAGCAGAATTGGAATTATTGCAAATGTCTACAAATAGGAAAATGTATTCAAAGGATGTTAGAGATCCTAGTTTGTTTATTTATGAAGATGAGTAATAAAGCTATAATAATCATTCGCTATTTAAAGCTATGATTGTATTATCATCACAATCTTGTATCTTTTAAAGATAATAAGAATGTATATATCTGAATTCAATTTAGTTTATCTTAATATAACCTATTAATAAACATAAAAATTTAAAATTATTTATAATTTATGTAATAATTATTACTTTCCTTAAAATTATATGTATAATCCAAATAAAAAATTAATGTTATAAATTATAAAAGTAATTATATTTTAACTTTTAAAAATAATTTGAATAATATATTTTAGCCAATTTATTATTTATTACAATCAATATTTTAATAAAATTTTAATCTTTTTAGGTTTTATATATTTTTAATATATATAAATTAAAAAGTTGAATTTAAAAATTCAATTAGAAAATTTAAATTAAATAAATATATTTAATATTAATGTATTTTAAATAATTAATTAACTTTAAATTTTATTTATCATTATATTTAATTATAATTAATAAAAGTATTGTCAGGTAAATTTGACTTATAATTTATATTTATTTATTATTATTATATTATATAATCAGATATTTTGTAATAGAAGTAAAAAGGTAATAAAAACTTTTAATATAACCAGTGAATTATAAAAAAATTCAAATTCAAATATATTATTACATAATAAATATTTTTATAAATATATGTAAATTAATTATATAAATCTCAAATTATATAAAATTACGGATATATGATTCGATTTTTTAATGTTAATTCTGGTCAACATTGAGTTACCAGTAAAATTCGATTGAACGCGACCCTCAATTCAAAAAAAAAAAAATAAAGTACTGTAAATTTTTCATTTAATTGGATACAAACACTATACTGTCGACAAAAAAAAAACTATTCATTAAACATGTCGTTTGCATCGGTAAATGACATAACGTCAAGACTTGAAAAGCTGGAACAAAATATAACTTTAACTTTGCAAGAAATCGATCATAACTTTTCAACGTGTCAATATAAAGTTACAACAAAAATTTTACCGCAAATAACGCGTTTTGCCTGTGCTTCGGAAGATATTTGGGAGAATTCAAAGGTTTTACTTCAATCATATTATCATTATTTATTGTGAAGAAACGCGTACTTTGTTATTAATTTTTTTTCTTTTTTTCTTTTACATTATGAATTTTTTTTATTGATGCGAGCCAGTTGTGGTGGTCATTCTTCGAGTCTTTAGATTTAACTACAAATGATTCATTTTCAGCGACATCATCTGAGGATTACATCAATATGAAAAAGAAACTTGTTATTAATGAAACTTCATCATCGAGATCTGATACAAGTAAAATCACAACAATTAACTCGATATTAACAAATCCTTCAAATTATAATTCATTGACTTCAACACCTTTACAAGAGCCACAATATATTCATGGGAATCTTAGTAACAACAATCATAGTGATATTAATACGAATACGACATTAACTTCAGAACAATGTATTTTACCACCACAATCATCTTCAGCTTGTACGGATAGTGATTATGAATTCGCCGGAATTTCACCACCTGTTACCTTTCAATTTTCTGTGGCACCTTCTAAATTATTGAGGACTCCGGCGAAAGAAGCAGCTAAACTTATCGTAGATGAACTTGTCAGTTGTATGAGTCCTGATATATTAACTCCATCAAATTCAAATAAAGGTTGGTGACAGCAAACAACAATTTCTTCCCTGTTGAACCTACTGTAGAAAAAAAATACACGGGTTTTTTTTAAAAAAAAAATATATAACATTTGTATTCATGTTACGCGTTTTAATAAAAAATGATGCATATTACTTATTATTTTTAATATTTGAAAAGGGAATTGTTGTTTATTGATAAACCTTTTATTATTTATAAAATATTTGAATACATCAACATGAATAAATCTCACGCCAAATAAAGTAAAAAGAAAAAGAAAAAAAAAAAGATAAGAAATAGAAATTTTGAGGAAAAAAAAAATACGAATTCTTTGATCACATCAACTATAAAATTTAACCTGCAAAGAAGAAATATCAAGTAAAAAACCAAACATCATATAAGCCCAACTAGCAAATGTCCAATAATACCCTTTAATAAATTTAACAAGGGAATGCGCCAACCCTCCAATATAATTATATAATAAATTCTTAATACCAAAAAAAAAAAAAAATAGTAATGTATTCTATTATCCTAACAAGCGAAGAAAATCAAAATATAAACATATCAATCGATATACATATATATATATTATTTCTATTTTTTATTTAGATTTTTGTGAAAATATTCAAAGAAAAAAAAATTTACCCGTTATTATTACCATTTTAATAGTTCGGATTTCAATTTTCGGCAAGCAAAGCAAAGGAAACATTTTGGAAAACAAATAATTGTCTTTTTGCTTTTTTTTTTCGATTCGATTTTTTTTTTTTATACTCGGGAATTCTTTTGTACTCGCGTTAATCTTTTCTAGATTTTTTTTTAGCCTTTTCCTCTTAAAAAATAATAATGTTTCGGAATCTTATTAATAAATCCTAGAATGAAGAATAACAAACACGTGTGGAAAAAGCTCTGAAATATTATAATTTCTATATGAATATTTCTTTTAACTTCATGCTTTGTCATTGTTTATTAAGATACAAGTGCAGGACGTTTGGGCATATCAGAGATATGTTCTGGTGACTATTTTTTTCAAAAAAAATAAAAAGAAAGATGTATATACATATATATCATTAAATTAAAATCAAGAATGATAAATAAAATGTCAAGTTGCTAGATTGATATCTATCATACCGCTTTTCTTTTACCGAGAACAGGAGGACTTGAAACACTTTCACTTTCAGATAACTTCACATTTCCTTGGTGCTAAAATCAAAAATAATCTTTAATATTATTGTTCAATCTCGACTTATATATACACTAAGTAACCCTACCTTAAGGGCATCAGCATGGCATGTTGCATGATATATAATACCATCAACTTCAACAGCGTTACGAAATAACCATTCTTCATCTGTATCATTCCAGAAACATTGAAATTTTTCTTGACAGATTGGACATGGTTTACCAGCCTTTTCAGGATCAAAAGGTACGATAACCGTCGATTCATTAATTAATTCTTCTCTTCTGTACGTTTGGATATTAACGCTACCACTACCAGTTACATTTTTTATAGCACCAATATTATCAAAGTCAAAAAATGCAGGAGTTGCAGTATTTTTTGTATCTGATTCCCTTGAATGAATCCAATCCTATAATACATAATTGTTTTTGTTTTGCCAAGCATAACACAAAGCATTGCCACAAAATATTATTAATTAAAATATTGAAAATATTGCTTAAACCTAAAAAGAAAAATATTAAAAGAAATAAACTATATATATTTGTATATTTAATTACCTCGTCGCTTACAAACCAGCTACGACTTTGCGCCTTTTTTGACTTTTCCTTCATTCGACGATTTTGACGAAAATGCCAGTCCAAATGAGCATCCATCTTTGCTTTTCCTTCTTCATTTCCAGGATATCGAAATCCACATTGTTTGCATTGGCGTGGTAAAGCATCATATATGACTGTAATCGCTCCTTCATGTTTGCTATTAATAAATAAATTTTTAGGTTAGAAAATTTGTTCACATTGCAGATATGTAGTAGCATTATGGTTAATATAACTTACCGTTGAATATCATTACTGGTTAGACGAATCCTTTCTAGATCCATTACAGATTTCACAGTAGACGAAGGTGGTTCTGCATTAATTGAAGACGGAGGTGGTGGTGTAGGAGTATTATTTCTTCCAGTAAAGTTCAATCCATTAATATTACCAAGATTATTACTTGCAATATTATGTAATCCAAAGTTAATTAAATTCTTAACCAAAGAATTTGGATCTGCTAAAAGATTGTGCGGTGGTTGTGGAATCGAAGAAGGAGGCTGTTGTACTGGAGATCTCACCGGAATTGGACCCGGTTGAGGTTGTGTTAGAAGTGAACCTGAATTGTTGAAAGAACTTGCTGATGAGGCAAATACAACACCGAGAGCAGCCGACAAAACATTGAAATCAGTTGTACCAGTAATAGAAATTGAAGGTCCTAGACCTTGAGTCAAGTTAGGGAACGAAGGTGGGATTATAGGAGGTCCTTGAGCCTGAACTGTGGCGGGATTAGGCATTTGGTTAAAAGAGGCAAATAGTTGTCGAACTTGCTGGATTTGTTCAACCGTGAGAGGCGCTTTTTGAAGAACTTCTGAAAGCTATAAAAATACATTATGATTTTTGAGTAAAGTCACATTGATATACTTGAATAATTTGATGAATTAATCTTTAAAGCAAACCTGTTGTAAATTTCCAATTTGATTTTGGTTCTGCAAATCATTAGGATTTCTCGAAGCATATTGTTGACGTTGCAAAATCACCGCCCGACATTCTTGTAAAAGTCCCTGTTGTTCAGGAGGTGGAACAAATACTTGGTTTTGTTGAATAATTGGTGAAACAGGCTTGTTTGCAAACTAATTATAATAGAAAAAAAAAAGAAAGCACGAAATAAGGAATCATCAATATATTATACATCAATAAATTTTGGATGTACATTCAATAATCATCTCCAAAAAGAACATTAATTTTTTGATCGTCAATTAGTAACGATTTTTATTACACAAGGATTTGGTAGGGATAAAGGAATAAAGAAGGACCATATATAACGTTTTTTGAAGTGTATATATATATATATATATTTGATTATAATTTTATAAATTATTTTTTTCTCTCTTTTCTTTTCTTTTCTTTCTTTTCTTTTTTCTTTATTTTTTTTTTTATTTTTATTATTATTTTTTTTTTTTTTTGTTTTTTTTTGTTTTTTTTTATTTTATTGATCTTTTTTTTCATTTTCTCTATATATTTCTTTTTTTTTTTTCTTTTTTTTCTTTTTTTTTTTTTCGCAACATTTTATAATTAGGATGGAAGTTATAATTGATCTTCCAGATTTATTTTTATTTTATGTAATTTATTTTTGTTAATTTTGTTATATTTCTTTTTCTTTTTTTTTTTTTTGAAGCCCATCAATTTCATTTCACAACGTAAATAACCTCTGTTGGTTTTAGAAGTTTTATGTTTGTTGTTATTATACATGGTTTCCCAATCAGATACACCCAAATAAATTTGATTAGAAAGAACCAGAGTTGATTATCGGAAACTCGAGGTTCTGAGCGGTAGAGCATTTCAAAAAAAGAAAACTTTGGACAATAATAATGATTACAAGAATAAAGATTGCATTTTTTTAAAAGTAAAAAGCAGACAGTCTTATAATGTAATGAAAATAAAAAGTTCGTATTGATGCAGATATGATAAAACTACACGAATATACGGACAACAAAAAATAACAGAAATCAAAAACAAAAAATAACGAACAATATAAATTCAATAAAGAACTAACCTGAGGTGTATTATAAAATCCTTGGCGAGGCAATGTAGCAGCAGGAGGAAATGCAGTAGTAACATTATTATTATACCTAGCCGCATCAACCCACACATTTGATGTTTGTTGAATTGGTTGTGGCACTTGTTGAACTTGCTGTGTAGTTGGTTGTTGATTCTGCTGATATGATGTTAAACCACTTTGGTTCTGTTATAAAAAGAAAGAAACCCATTTAATAATTTGGTCAAGGAAATTTAATGAAACTTTTATAAGATAACCACAAAATCACTTACAATTCCGCTCAAGAAATTAGGATTGATATGAATGTGCGTTCTTCCACCGTCTATTGATCCTCGAGGTTGATATCTCACTTGCTGCTTCAACGTTTTTTCAATGGGGCCAGTAACTTCTAAAGAATATACGGGATTTCCTGTTGGTCCACTTTTCCATGTTGCTAATACTCTTTCAAGTTTATGCTTTGTAGTTTGATCTACAGCATTATAAGTGTCCATAAATGTATGATAAAGGTTTCTCGAAAATAACATAATATATGTTCCTCCAACATTTTTACTAATAGAATCAAGGAGATATAATACTGGTAATTTGTGTTGAGGTGGACACTAAAATAAATATATGGCAAGAAAAAAAAATTTTTTTTACGGTTGGTTAGAAACCTATAATTAGACTTTCGGAAATACTCTTATTTATATAGCCAAAGTAATCTTTATTGAAGAATAATTTTTTAATATTCCCCAGAGTATAATTAGGAAATACTTACAGTTCTGATCTGTTCCTCGATAGCTTGTACGATTGACCTTGCGGCATTTATATTCTCCTGTGCTATAATTGTCAAATTAGTGATAATAGGTTTTGAGTTAAATGTTAAGTCTTGCAAAGACGCTAAATAATCCTGTCGGACACTTTCCAGATCGAGCTCAGAGTTGGCCATTTTTTTTGATAGAGTTTTTTTTCCTTTTTTTTTTTTTTTTTTCTGGTTCTTGTATTTATATAAGATGAAATAATAATCTATTCTTAAGATGATGGGAGAAATTACAAATGCATGATAACTCTGGCCGACGCTTATCAAAACTCTGATCAGCTTCATATTATACCACATAATCACATTTCTTTATTGTACAAATTCTCTATTGTTAATCAACAAGGAACAAGGCTGTTGTACTTCATGCAAATAAAGATCCATTAGATCCATTAGATCCATTAAAGAGAATGGTCACGTAAATCTTCAAATTACTACAAAACTATTAGAAAGGTATGCTTTTGAAATGTTTTTATTTTCAATAAACTGGCTTGGCTTTTAATTCGTTTGAGGCTTTGGGCAACGGAGATCCATTATATATAAATCATGTGATAATAACATAGAGATGATGAAACTTGTGTTATATTTGATGCACTCTTTGCGTTAGTATAGTCTTTATTGGAATCACGCTTTTTATTTATTGCATATTAATCTCTTATAATTGGATTATTTAATATTCATGTAGTTAAAATCCCCGTTTTATAATATTGCGAACCTTATTGCTTATAAATATTGTAATTGATACTTATATATGATGAAACTAGAAAAGTATTCGAGTGACTATTTAGTGACTATATAGCGGTATATATAATTTTATAATATTATAAAACTTAACGTTAAGATAATAAAAACAATTATAAATTAAAAAGTATTATAAATCATAATATTATAATTTTATAAATTTATAAGTCATGTTAATTATAATATTATAATTAATTTATATTTTTAATTGACGTATAAATATTATTAACTAATCAATTTATATTAATTTAACGTTAAATAATTTATAATATACTATACTTTAATATAATTTACAACATAAGAGTTTTCATTACAAGTAAATTCAATAGAGAAATTTCTATAAGTAAATGAAAACAATAAATTATTTATGTAACAAATTTTTTTTGTGAGTGAACAAATATTGAGCTATTTTTATTAGTAGCAAATTTTTGATTAACAAAAAATTATCAAAATTCATAATGCTTTAACTTTAAAATGTTGTTATAATATAATTTACAAGTATATAAAACGTGAAACTACAAAGTATAAAGAAAATATTTTTGACTCTATAAGAAGCAAAAAAAGTTGTTAATAAGTTGCATCTCTTAATTTTATTTTGCCTATTTTTAACAACTAAAAAAAAATAAATTGCAAATATTAAAATAAAAATACAAAATTTTTCTTCTTCATATCACTATTTACTGTAAACATGATAGAAGATGAAGATGTTGACAAAATAGATAGTATTAATGATAATACTAATAGGACCAGTACTATTAGTAGTAATGTAGACTTTAAGGATTTTGAAGACTTTGAAGAAGAATTTAAAAAGCAAGAATTTGTAATGAAAGGAACAAAATCATAGATCATTTAGAATAAATAAGATTTATACCATATGTGATTATTGATTTTATTGAAGAAAAATTTTAGCAGTATAAAGAAAGAAAATTAAGACAGCTTTATAATTTATTTGACACATGGTAAGTTAATAGGAATGCTATTAAGAAAGTTGATGATGTTTTGTCAAAATTAGGAGTGCATGATTTATATTTTTAATTTGATAACAAATATTTGCATAAATCATTAAATAAGAAAATTGTAGATTTTAATAAAGTAATTATTAAATAATGTCAGTGTATCTCTTGTAATAGATATATAACTTCCTTTTCTAAAGGTGTGAGATGTACTATACACTCTTGACACTTAAATAAAAAAATATTCAAGTATTATACATTAGATAATATTTATGTAAAATATTACGATTATGCTTAAATTTATATAGTTAAGCTTTTGAGAATATTAAAAAGCTTTGGTGTATTTGTTGTTTATGTTATGAGAATTTGGATGTCACATCTATTACCACTCTAGAGTTAAAGAAAAGAGTGTAACAACATGTATTACTAAAGAATTGCATAAGGATGATATGACAAAAGGGTTTGAATTTATGAGTAATCTGTTAATAAAAATTGTACAAATAGGAAATAATAAAATCAAAAAAAATATTCTTATTAAGACTTTTAAAATTCTTCTTTTATTAACGTCTAATAAAATATATACTGACTCTACTACCAATATTTTAAATCTAGCTACTAATACATCAAATACATCAATGAATTATAAAAAATCAGAAAATATTATACTTGACGAACTCCCTAGTTTATTTATGATAAAATTTCTTTTTATAAAAATTTTTAAAGAAGTGGTGACCATAAATTAATGTAGAAATTAATAATTTTAAGATAAAATATTTCTATTTCTTATAAAAAAAAATAAATATTTATTTTTATTTTATTTTTTTTATTTTAGGAATTTAGAAATATATTTAGACAAAAATTATGGAATTTCCAATTAAATATTAAAAAATCTGCTATAGAATCTCTCTAAACCATTTAGAAATATTACAATGCTTTTCCAGAATTTTTAAATGATTTATTTTCTGAAATGATTAATAAATTATATCAGAATAATAATGGTATGCAATTGGTAATAAGAAAATGTCATAAATTACTAAAAATTATAGTTCTTGAACAAATAATAAAAATTGTAACATTTATCACATCAATGTTGTTAAGTCTAACTTTTTCTCATTTGAAAGTTTAGCTATCTTAAGTTTTAGCTAGCTTTAGTCATATATCACGATTATCAGATTATTTTTGACAATTACTAATAGTTTATCATGTAATATCTTATACAGATAGACATAAATGAAAATTTGTAAAAGTTTAAATAGAATTAGTAAATCTAATAGAATGTTTAATTTAAAGAAATAATATTTGGAACTTAGCTATTATTGATAATATCGATTTTAAGAAATAAAGCTTCAAATTTAGCAATATTTACAATATTATATGTAACAGTTCTTATGCAACCCTTCAAGTAGCTTTTCAGATTCAGTTACCAGTTGAAGTAGAAACTGATTCAGAATAAGCTATTGAACTAATCGCTGAAATTCCATTATTTGGAATAAATCAGGGTATTGATTAAATATTAGTAATGTTTCAACAAATTATATATGAACTGTTAAATTTCAAAAAAAAATAATGAAGAACTTAATTATAAAATAAATTTCAATGCAGAAACAATTAAACACTTAATTCTTAATAAATTAGATTACAGATGCTATAGCACATCTCCTAATATTATAATCTTTGAATTAGAATTAAATTTAAATTCAGATGATAAAATATTGCATATTGCTAAAATGTATAAGGAAGATTTTGCAATGAAAAGTTATTCTTTTTAGATATTGTAGCAGATAAAACAATATTTCATCAGTTAATTAAATGATGAGAAAAATAGTCACATATAAGACTACTTCTAGGTAATGGCATACATCTAAAGATTTTTGTTCAGTATTATTAGTTTTATTTTCTAGTTATAGACTGTTTAGTTTAGTATTATGCCTAGGTATTCATTTCTTAGATAAATTTAAATCTGTAATAGATTATTATTCAATAGCACAGGTGTTAAATCTTATATAAGTGACAGTTGGAATAGCAATAAATATATATATTACTAAAAAATAAATATTATTTTCTGAAATAATAGACGGTAAAGAAAATAATAATATTTATCTTAAAGTACTTTATTAAAAAATTAATAAATTTTTTTATATTTTTTGATGTTTACTAAACAAAATTAATATATATATATTTTTTATTTGCTTACAAATTGTTTACTTTCAGTTATAGTACTTATATTACAGATAGACTGGAATTTGAAAAGCACATCAGATGGAAATGTGTATTAGAAATTTTAATTTACAACAGGATTCTTTATCTGCAATAAGACCTCTTTATGCAAGCATAACAAATTAAATTACATAATAGCAATAGCACATTTCTTCATTATAATAGCAGCCTATTTAAAATTAAAAGAAAAATTAGATCATTGTGATACTTTTAAAATTTCATATAATACTAGTGATCCCAAAAATTATACATCATATTTATTTTAGATTTAATGAAACCCTGAAAATATTTGAAGTAAAATTTATTAAAGAAAATGTAAGTGAAAATGTTATTGATGAAAAAAATCTCAAAAATCAACTAAAAGCATCACAGAATGAAAGAAAAAGAATAGATCTTTTAATAAGTGAATATCTTGTTGATAGTTCAATTTCACATAGTAAGAGGACAATTAAATTACGTTAAGAATCCTTATAAAAACTCATTAATAATCTAGTAAAATGGATAACCCATTATACTACTAATTATTTGAAAAATATATACTTACAGAAATACATCAAAAGGGACTTGATCATCTTGTTATATGTTATTTAGATGGATTAGAAAGAATTAAAAGAATATACTGACAAGAGGTTCTAAAAATAGAAAGTAAAAATACAAAAGATAAAAGAGTAGTAAGAATCATCAGAATAAAAGTAAAAGATTATAATAGTCAAAAAAAATCAAAAAATCAATCTATCACTAAACCTTCACAATTATCACAATAAAATATAGATAAAAATTTAAATAAACAACTTACAAACTATCTACCCAATACAATTTAAGTCACAATCTAAACAAAAAAGTATCAAACTACTAAAGAGGAGGTAAAAATACTTTCTGCATTAAAGTATATAAAAATAAACTACCAAACGATGCTATTGTTTTTATTTGTAAACATTTATCAAAGTTTAGACTAAAAAAAAATGTAGGAGTGGTAGAATTATCATAAAAATAAGTAAAAATATGCTTTTTTTGTAATAAAAAATATTTTTATATTAGTTATGTATATAATGTTATCATAAAAAAATAAAAATTATACAATTATCAGAAAAATTACTATTCTAATCACCATTTTGAGAATAATTAACTCAATTGCATGCAAAAAATTACATATAACTAGTAACTTAAGTTTGTGTTTAGTTTTTGTTTAAGGGTTGTATTTCAGGGTTAAAGTTAAAACAA